CAAAGGGCCAGCCTTGCCTGGGGAGAAGCGGGCCTCACAGAGCCTCCTCAGGAAGGACGTCTTCCCCACGGCAGAGTCACCCACAAACACGATCTTGAAGAGCCGGTCTGGGGTAGAGGGAATGCTTTCCTCCTGTAGATGGAGACAGTCTGATCACCTGCTGGGCATGGCCACTAGCCCCTGCTGCTGCCAGGTTGCCTTTTATTATCCACTGAGATCCCAGCACCATGGAGGCCACTTGTGGCCCAGAATACACCTAGCAGTGGTCTTGGAGCATGCGGCTCCTTCTAGCACGAACAAGAGATGGTTAGGAGAAATACCAGCCATTCACAGACATTCATGGGAAAGGACTGATGGGACTCTAGGACAAGCAGGCAGGCCCTTGGTGGAGTAGATGAGCCAGGAATGTAAACAGTTACTGAGTGTGGCGTTCCCAGAGCACCAAGTGAGAATGAGAAGGGTCAAGATCCCAGAAAGCAGGGGCTTGGGGAGAAAGGGAAGACAAGTGTGCTGGGTTTGTTTGTTTTGTTTTTGTCAATGTGACATTAAATAGGGTCATCTGGGAAGAAGAAACTTCATTTGAGAAAATGCCTCCATCAGATTGGCCTGTGGGGAAGTCTGTAGGGCATTTTCTTGATTAATGATTGGTTTTAGGAGGGCTCAGTTCACTATGAATGGTGCCCCCACCCCTGCAAAGGTGATTGTGGGTGCTACAAGAAAGCAGGCTGAGCCAGCCATGGGAAGCAAGGCCATAAGCAGCACTCTTCAATGGCCTCTGCTTCAGTTCCTGCTCTCTGGCTCTTGCCCTGACTTCCCATCGTGACTGTGAGCTGTAAGTTGAAATAAACCCTTTCCTCCCCAAGTTGCTTTTGGTCATGGTGTTTATCACAGCAACAGAGAAGCAAACTAGGACCACAAGGTAGTCTTCAGAGGGAGAGCAAAGAGATGGATGACCACGGGGCTGGGGATCATCACTTAGCTCCTTCCTTTAACTTGAACATCCCCCCCCCAGATGCTTCCTAAGACTCAAGAAACTTAGGGGACTCCAAAAGCTCTGAGATTCACAGACTCCTTAAGACAGGGGCAACTGGTCTGGGGGAGGAGACTCTCTGGAAGACTCTGTGGAGGAGGGGCCTGCAAGCTGTGCAGGGGTTCCCATGGTATAGCTCTCAAGAGTCCTCGCCCTTGCTGGGGTACCACTGTCTTTGGTTATTCACGCATGCTTGGATAGATAGCCCCAAGTAACCCACTAGTTCTTTCACTGGCTGGAAGCATTTCTTTACTTTACCATAGATGCCCTGTCTATAGTAAATAGGCATTAATGGCCACATGTTTCCAGAATAGCCTCCGGGTGGAATGGAGACCCTCGAGTCTCTACACATGGCCCTTGTATCCTATCTTCAGCTTTGGTTGTCACATAGTCACCTGCCATGGATAGCCAGGTGGTGATTTTCCACCCTTGTGAGGGTTAGCTTTTGTCAACTTGGCACAAGCTGGAATCATCTGGGAAAAGGAACCACTGAGGAACATCCTCCGTCAGACTGGCCTGTAGACAAGGCTGGGGCATGCTCTTGACTGATGACTGACATGGAAAGCCCAGTCCACTGTGGATAGTACCACCCCTGGGCAGGTGGTAAACAAGGAAACTGAGCAGGCCATGGAGAGAAAGCCTGGAAGCTTTCTCTGCCTTGAGTTCCTGTCCTGACTTTCTTCATTGTTTGACTGTGACCTGGAAGTTGTAAGATAAAATAAACCCTTTCTTCCCTTTCAGTTGGTTTTGGACAGGGTTTTTATCATAGCAACAGAGAATCCAAACTAGGACACTCTTTCACTCAGGAAGGTGGGAAGTCTCTACAGGCTTCCACACGTTGCTCTGTTCATCGAGACCCAGAGAACAAAGCAGGACTGGACTGCCATCACCCTGGGGCTGAACTTTCTCTGGGACAGACATGGAGCAGGAGGTGGTGTGAGGGCCATTCCTTCCAGAGCACAATCTCGTCAAATGCCTCACCTTCAAGCTCAGCTCAGCACTGCCGATCAGAGGGCGGGCTCTTTGGGGTGGATTTAAAAGTGGATTTGAGGGAATTAGCTTATCTGGTCGAGCAAGTGCTATAAACAACAAAGCATAGCTGATATTAGCAGAACTTGAATTTCGGAACAAAGCCACCAATAGACTTTGGGAGAGAAATGCGGTTGTTAGGAAAGAATTTAATGTCAAACTACAAGAATTTAAGATACAATGCCCTCTGCCCCATTTTCTTTATCAGTGAATACACAAGGCACTGGCTTCTGCCTGTCTCCTGTCCAGGTGCCTCCAACTGTCATTTGTTTAAGCAAAATGTGGCAAAGTAGGCACAGGCAAGAGGTGGGAATGTGAAACCCAAGGTGGAGGTGGTCAAGATGGTGGCCATGGTTGTGACTGCAGTTTTGCCTGGCCTTCAGCCCCACGGCCGCCCTGTCCCTTCCCTGCAAGAACTCTGCTTTTCAAGCACTGACCTATAAGGCCATGAATGTTCCAGATACAGGCAGCTTAATCCACATAACAGGGAGGTCCTTCACCCTGCCTCTTTTCTTGGGGACAGTCCATCTGTCAGATGGCAGACAGATGGACTGTAGGGTCAGGCAAAGTAAAGGAAGCCTGTTCATCACATCTGGACCTGTGCTGTCATTGTCCTTTCCCTCTTATCTGCTTAAAAAGCAGGGTTAGGGTGCATCTGAGACATAAAGGGTTTGACACCACTATAGGGCCCTGAGTTTCTGTCCCCAACACCACAAAACAGATGGATGGATAAGCAAGCAACAATAACACCCAGAAACCAAGTCAGAAAATGAAAACCTCCAAGCAAAAAATGATACACACTGGGCTAGCAAGATGGCTGGCTCCCGCCACCAAGGCTGTCAACCTGGGTTCTATCCCTGGGATTCACACAGTGGAAGAAGTGAACTGACTCTCACAGTGGTCCTTTGAGCTCTACACATGTGCTGTGGCATGCATGTGCCTATACACATTCACAAATAAAATAAATATTTAAAAAAATTAAAGTCATCTGTTTTAATCTTTAAACTTGGGAAATACAGAGTTGTAGGAAGAAAAGTCAAAATTCTTTATAGTCTGAGATAGTCACTATTCACATTTTATGCCCTTATTGATATATGAGAAAATGTTTTATTTAATGGATTAGAGAAATAAATATATGCATATGTAATTTATCCTAGTTATCATAGTTGTTTAATAACAATACAAATCCCTCTGAGTCACTAAAGATGTTTTTGGAATCATAATTTTCTAGCAGCCATATAATATCCTATTAAATTACTGTAATATAATTTATGTCCCTATAGTAGCCTTATTTTTTAATGGTCGTCTATTCTAAACAGCACTTACAGTCTTGACATTTCACTAGGAGTAGAAGTGTGGGTTGAAAGGTCATGACACTTGATTCCTATTACCAGATACTCTTCAGAGAGGTGGCATCGTCTACGCCTCACGGAGGTCTGCCTCAGGGCAGCCTTCCTCACAACTGACCTCCTTTATTCTCTCTGCTGTTGTATCAAGATGGCGGCACAGCCTTGTGAGGAGACTTGGGGGTACTGGGTGCTCTGTGAGAGAAGAGCCTTTACAGAACACACTGCTTCAGAGGCAGGCTGCTGGGCAGCCTTATGCTAAGATCCCAGCAGGTAGGCAGGCTGCCCTAGCTTCTCCCCTCTGGGCTCCAGCTTCTTCTGGCAGTAGGGAAAATATCCGTCAGGCCCATCCATCAGACCACAGCGAAGACAGTCTTTCCATCTAGACCTGTCTCTTACAGACCTCCTGGTCACATATTGTGATACTAAGTGATGTCTTGGGATGATTTTAATATCGACCCATCTGTGCCCACTGAAAGTGAGTGTAGGTCCATGGTATTGAAGGGACTTGGAAGGGAGTGCAGGGGGAGAGAGGGACCCACCGGCTAGGGGCTGCCCAAGGGAGGGAGGTGCCCCTTGCATACTGCCATGACATTTCTAGAGAAGTTTTAGAGGATGGGGTGGAGGCCAAGGGCTGGATGGCCTATTCCAAAGATCAAGTTACAAACCAACAGAGGGACATAGTTCCTTCAAGGCAAAGAGGAACCACCCTTCTAGAGAGTGTTTGGTGATAAGAACCAAGTGCCATGACCTTTGAACTGCTCTCCTTACAGAATTCAGAGGGAAATCTGAGTGAAGAGACAGAGGTATGCAGAAACACACTGGAGGGAAGAGTACACGGGACACCAGGGAACGCAAGAGGCGTAGCTGGCTGAGGTCAATAGAAAGATGATGGCATGCACACTTGACAGAGCCATGCCAAATGACCACTTGTAACGGATCTTAGCAGACACTGACTCCAGCAGGTGTTTAATAAATGCTTCATATCTGAGTTAGAAGAGAGAGAGTGAAATATGGGGCAACGGAAGTCAACCAGGAGAAGTTAATGAAATGGTTGAGTCTCTATGAGGCTCAGCTGAGAAGGTATAAGGAAGGGAAGGTAACCTTTGGGACACAGAATATGGTGAATGCCCGAGCCCACTGCAGCTGGCCTCCTGGGTATCCTTTGGGGGCTCCTGGGCTCAAAGAGAAGGGGGCAGATCTCAGTAGCATTGCCTGGACCCTTACCTTGTAGAGGGCTTCTTTTCCGACAGGCTGCACTCGGGGAGACGTAGGGGTGAGTTCCAAGGCTGGGGCTGCCATGCTTTGCCCTTCTGCCCCCTGATCAAAGACCTCCTCTTCTTCTGGGCATTTGCTCAGTGGCTTCTCAAATCCACCTTCCAGGAGCTGAGGCAGGGGGTCTTCCTCAATGGAGATGATTCTGCGGAGTGCCTGGCGACGTGGAAGCCCAGCCCCTGGCTCCCCAGTTCCCGGCTCCTCCTCTGCCAGGAGATATGCACTCAGGCTCACAGAGTTTCTCCTCCTCAGGATGCCAAATGTCTCATCCTCCTCCACTGACTGGCTATCAGGATGGGGGCAGGAGGAAGATGAATAGGAGAAAATGATAAAATATGAATATGGAAGTGGAGAGATACTTGCCTGCAGACAGCACTGGAGAGAGCTCTGAGGAAGGAGTGGACACAGCAGACCCATCACTCAGCTAATGTTTTTGACAGCCTCGTTAGGGCTGCCGCCTGTCACTGCTGCTGCTGCTGCCAGGGATGAAGATGCTGATGAAGATTATTACCAGGTATCAACTAAAATTAAGGACCCTGTCCTCATGTGGTACTGAAGCAAGAGGAGGACCAATGCAACAAACAGCACAAATATATTCTTATGACCTGGGTGACTTAACTAAGACGGTAGTGAAGAAAGGAGTGTGCAGGGTTGGAGATACAGTCCTCTGGGAGAACAATATGGTGGCTGGGCTGCGCTCTCACCACCTGCATGTCCTTATGGAAGGACATCAACTCCTTACACCTCAGTTCCCCTACTACAAAACAGGGTCCATCTACCTAGCCTATTCAGATATAAGAGAATGCATGAGAGGGATAACCATGTAGCACACACCCACACAGGGCACACCCACACAGGGCACACCCACACAGGGCACTCTCACACAGGGCCCTCCCCCACAGGGCACACCCACATGGCACACGAACACAGGGCACTCACACAGGGCACTCTCACACAGGGCCCTCCCCCACAGGGCACACCCACATGGCACACGAACACAGGGCACTCACACAGGGCACTCTCACACAGGGCCCTCCCCCACAGGGCACACCCACATGGCACACGAACACAGGGCACTCACACAGGGCACTCTCACACAGGGCCCTCCCCCACAGGGCACACCCACATGGCACACGAACACAGGGCACTCACACAGGGCACTCTCACACAGGGCCCTCCCCCACAGGGCACACCCACATGGCACACGAACACAGGGCACTCACACAGGGCACTCTCACACAGGGCACACCCACACAGGGCACTCTCACACAAGGCACTCCCACACAGGGCACACCCACATGGCACACGAACACAGGGCACTCACACAGGGCACTCTCACACAGGGCACTCCTCTCACACAGGGCACACCCACACAGGGCACTCTCACACAGGGCACACCCAAAAAGGGCACACCCACACAGGGCACACCCACACAGGGCACTCTCACACAGGGCACACCCACACAGGGCACTCCTCTCACACAGGGCACTCTCACACAGCACCTGTCCACACAGCATCCCTCAGCAGTGTAGGAGTACTGTCGCTGTGGGGGACCTCCCCCCACCCATGACAGATGTCCCCTGACTTGGAGACAGGTCATTATGAGTGGGCTTGGGTCAGAAAGCACATGTACCCCCCCCTTCCTCTCCCTTTCTGAGTTCCTGAAACAGAGGGAGGAGCTTCAAAGACTTTAGCACATACTTGCTTTGGGTGCTGTGAGCAGAGAGGACAGTAGGAGGAGGAAGGAACTGGGCGGTTGGGGCATAGAGAGAAGCATGAGATGTGTGTTCCAAGGGTTTGGGGTCTGCACAGGTCTGCAGAACACTGGGTTCTTTCTCTGTCTTAGCGAACAGTGCAAGGTGAGAGTATTTCAGAGGAAACAGGCATGATCTATGAACACACATGCATGTGTGCACATGTACACAAACGCATGGAAAGGACTGCTGAGGAACCAACAAGGCGACAAGTGCAAAGGAGAAAGGGAGAAAGGGAGAAAGGAATGGAATCAAGGGACACAGAAATAGCGCAAGCAATACAAGAGAAGCCCTATTGGCCTTGCCCCTGGCTTCTAGGGTTTGTTCTTCATACAGCCAATAAGAGGAAGCAAAAAACAAAGCAAAGTGAACCTATCACTTCCTGATGCTAGCTGTGATTCTGAGGAGCAAATTAAGACAGTGTTTACTTTCAACAGTAGTGAATTAGTTTGGATAGAGAGTAAAAGATTTATAGCAATTCCAGCGCCTTTCTCTCTGCTTATGAAATAGGTTAAATAAAAGCCAACTGGTTTCTGTCCAACACTCTTCCTGTGTGCACTATCGAGTCCATTACCTGACTCTCTGGTTCAGAACACAGTATCCTTGTCCATTCTTAGCCGCTTTTATATGCAGTGTGAACATGTACACACACGTGTAAGCAGACAGACTCACATACAAGACACACATTTTCCCAAAGGTTTTCAACCAGAAAAAGAAATAACCATTCATGTGTGCCCTAAAATGAAGCTCTTCTTGGAGAAAGTGTTTTATTTGGGAACATCTCAAGTGCTGTTGACATTCCGTAATGGCTTCAGCTTAGCATGTCTAAGCTCATTTTTGTTTTGCCACCAAACACTTCCTGCCAGCAGTAGAGAGAGTAGCTGCTTTTTGCCAAAATCGATATTGGAATTCAGATCACACACTTAGATGTTTAGTGGATTATTTTCTATTTCTGCCACTTGGCTGTGAGCTCATAAAGGAGGGAAGGGTCTATTTTGCACACCTCTGCTCCAGTGACTGGCACTGGACCTCACAAATAGTGGCCACTCAATACCTATCTATTAAATGAGCATCTGCTAGTGGGTAGACATAGTGGAGGTGTCACAAAAGAGTGCCAGATGCAAAGTAGGGAATCTACAAATGACTGTCAAATCAATCAATCTAAAATACATTCAATTCTGAGAAACCAGCAGGCTAACAAATACTGGAGTGGAAATTTGGCTTCCAGGATATACCTCATTATTGAGCTATTGAGAGACAATCCATGACAATCTGACCCAGGGCCTGACCCAAAGTCACTTTCACTTTACGCATCTTTTCAGGTCATGCTTGCATATCTGCTCTATGAGTGAGTTTATGCATCTTCTCCCTCGGTTTGATCCTGGAGGGATTAGCTGCCCTGACCTCTCTGTGTCCATCCATGTGGATGGAGTACCTGTTCAAAAGAGGAGGGGGAGAAACTGGCTTGTCTGTATGAATGAACAGCAGCCAACCCTTTCCACATTCAAGCTCAATTCATGTGCCCTCCAACAGCAACAAAACACGTTGTCTTTGAGTTAGCTAAATATGAATCATTGGGATGCTCTGTCAATCACAAGCCTTAATTTTGTCTCTAAAGAGTTTCAGCTAATAGTGATTCTATATGACATTTAATTCAGCTCCCAGTCAGTATCCAGAATAACCAAGTGGATCCAAGAAATGGAGCACTGTTCAGCCACTCCTTCCCTCCTTGATAATCTTCTCCTCCTCCTCCCCCTCCTCCTCCTCCTCCTTCGTTTTTTGTTTTTTTTTTGAGACAGGGTTTCTCTGTGTGGCTTTGGAGCCTATCTTGGCACTCGCTCTGTAGACCAGGCTGGCCTCGC